TACTACTTGTAGTTGGTGGTGCCGATCTTAGTTGTAGTAGCAATATGACTAGGAGTCGTAGTAATAGTAGTAGTCGTCGTAGCAGTAGTAGAAATAGTAATAGTAGTGGTTGTAACAGTAGTAGTAGTAGTAGTAGTAGTCGTAGTAGTAGTAGTTCTAGTGGTAGTAATAGTAGTGGTATAAGTGGTAGCAGTGGTATTAGTAGTAGTAGTAGTAGTAACAGTAAGTAGTAGAAGCAGTTCTCTTCTTCGGACTAGTCGTAATACTATTCATATTACTGATCATATTACAGCGGTTAGTACGTTTAGTCTTGTTGTACGAGCAGTTTGAAACTTATTCGTGTTCGCCAGCATTAGTATTTGTCATACTAGCATGAACAATGCGACCAATCGTATGATTAGCATTTGCATTTGCGTTATTAATGACTACACTTGTAAAATTATTAATATGAATGTTTGTCATACTGTTGGTATTAATTTTACCATTGTCAGGTACAGTAGTATCATTACTGCTGTCATTAAGCCGCTGCTGCGGCCGTAGTTTTACCCCGTGCGCGGTCGGCGGGCCCAGCCGCGCGGGCTCTGCCGCTGCCGCAGGCTGCGGGGCGCGAGCTCGCCTGGCCAGCAGCCCCGGCGCGTGCCGCTGCACCGTCACCGCGGCAGCCTTCCAGCGGGCTCGCGATTCGACCTCGGCCTGTTATCAATCCCAGTCGCAGGCCCCCTGCGCAGCCACTGCCTCCGCCAGCGCCCAACGCGCGGCAAGTCTCGCTGGGCGGCCGCGCCGCCGCCCTTATACTTGCCAACCTGCGCGCGAAGCGGGGGCCGCAGCGGCCAACATGGAGGAAAGCATCCCTGCACCCCCCCCTCCAAAAAGGGCCGCGTCGGCCAACGGCCCCTGACCTCGCACCCCTCCGAGCTGCTGGCCTCGTCGGCCTCGCAGCTGGCAGCCGCCGTCGCGGGGCAGGGGCCGCCTCGGCCAACAGGGAGGAGCATCCCAGCGCCCTTGTCACAGGCAGAGCCGCCGGCCAACGAGGCGACCCCTGAACTCGCACCATGCCAGGCTGCTGGCGTTCTCTGGGTTTGGCAGCCGCGGCTGCCGCGCTTGGCACCCCGCGTGCACCAGCAGGCGGGCCCCTGAGCAGGTCAAGGACCTCCTGCCCAAGGCGCGCGCCATCGGCCACATTGTGGCTTCGCCCCTCGGCTGGCGCGGCCCCCGCCGACGAGGCGCCCACCGACCAGCAGTGGAGCACGTAGCGTAGCAGCGGCGCCACCCAGCCGCCGCCGCGACTCGGCCAGCACGCGCAGCCACACCCCGTACCCCGTTCACCACCTGCCATCGCCTGGTTGCTCACTCAAGTAGCCGTAGACTTTATGCCATGTCTACGATACTTCTGCAGCATCTGCTGGGGACCCCTCACGCACGGGACGCGGTCACGGTGCAGCGCTTAGCTAGCTGCTCCGACCCACGCCGGTACGTGATCACAGGCCGGCCCGGGACGCGCGCCCCCCGCGCGCGTGCTTGGACCAGAATGGCTTGAGAGGGAAAAGGGGATGGAGGAGGAGGAGGAGGAGGAAGAGGTGGATCATCTTCAAGAGGGTGAGATGTGAAGGAGGAGTGTCATAGCTGCAATATTTGACCTGTGGTGGCGGGGGGGGCTTGGCATCAGGAGCCCCGTGTACGGCCAGGGGGCAGCCTAATCGACCAAGCCTCCCCTCCCACAAAGGAGCACGAAGACCACTCCCATGCGAAACCTGACCCAGGACACTCGCTGGCGGCAGCTGGGCAGGCTGGGCCGGACCGAGCCCAAGGAGGACGAGGCCCAGCCTGTTGATTGGCATGCCGGCATACAGGGCAACGCAACGGAGTACTACGGGTGATGCTTAATGGGGAGGGGGGGAGAATCGAAAACCCTCGCCTGCGCACCCTTCGGGCCGAGAGGGCTGCGACGAAGTCCACACTCCCCCCCCCGACGATAATCCACGTCAGCACCTACCCTGCCTTCCCAAAGTTATGGGAGATGTTATCTTCGAGAGGGTGGGGTGTGAAGGAGGAGCGCCCGAGCTGCAACATTTGACCTGTGGTGGCGGGGGGAGCTTGGTATCAGGAGCCCCGTGTACAGCCCGGGGGTACCCTGTTCGATCAAGCCACCCAACGCTGAGAGGGAGATACCCCCAAGCCCCCCAACGCTGTCTGGAAGAAAAAGAAACTACGCTTGGGTCAAACAGCAGCCAGAGGCACTATCAGCACGTATTGGCGTTTCTATTTCCTCTCGCAAGGATTCACGGAGGCGAAGGGAACAGGCAGTCAAAGTCCAGGGCGGTTACAGGAGGCTCACGAGGCGGAAACGCCTCCCACCGTGCATCGCGAACGTGAGACATTAGTTACAATGGATGTCGCATCCGTCGCGGCTCAAGACGTCAGAAGGATTGTCAGGTGACATGACCCTTTCGAACCACGGCCGGGCTCCTAGAGCCGTCACGGCTGCAGTTGCCACGAGGGCCAAACGACACATCGATTCAGTAGGCGATCCCGCCTTGACTAAAGCGGCCACGGCTGCCTGGTTCTCGATGAACCATACGACGTCCCTGCTCCGCAGCAAGTGCGGCATGGACCACTCCAGGAGAAAGGCGGCAAGCAGCTCTGCCTGGCTGATTGGATGGCCGGCCTGCGAGCCACGGTGGACAGACATGCTGTGAGAGACGTCGTGGGGCAGGCAGGCGGGCGCACGACCAGGAGCAAACACTAACGCACCAACACGCGGCGGTTTATTACCCTCCGCGGACGCGTCGGTGTAGACCACCACTGGCGGAGGCGGGTCACACGCAATGGCCAAAGACCTGGGCGGGGCGTGTCGCGCCACGGAGGATAGATACTGCGGGCAGCACAGCAGGTCTGGGGTGATCTCCGCGGTGTCCTCGTAGCACTGGCGCGCAACGAGGGCGGAGAAAGCTCCGCGACACTGCTGGCCAGCAAGCCAGGTGTCCAACCATGTGATGATGTTTCGTACATGCGCGGCCTCGCCCGACAAGAAACGCCCTGCCTGCAGCACGTGCTCGATCTCCACAACCCCCCCCCCCCAAAAAAAAAAAAAACGAGCGCGCGTCCCCAATTCTGACTCAAAACTGACCGCCGAACCCGTTTGTTCAGATGTCCAAGAAAGGGCAACATCGAAGTCGGCGGCACGCACCTTTCTTCCGAAAGCGCAACACCGAGCAAGCGCGCGAGCTCCTGGAAAGCCTGTTGGGCGTCCCCTTTAGAAAACGCAAAATCGGCAATAACGTTGTCGTCGACGTAATGCCCGCCCACGATGTACAACAAGCCGCGAGCAGCGGCTGCGAGGAGGAGCTGGACCCAGTTGAATTGGTCCACCGCCGACCCCAGGCCAAAAGGCAAGCCGCGGAGCACGCCGTACAGGCACTCGTGCGGTGCGTGGTGGGGTGGAGAAACGCCACCACGACGAACCCTATGTCCCGGCGAATGGGGAACAATTGCCTGTATCGTTTCCACCAATCTTCCACTGACGCAACGACTTGAAACCACCCCAGGAGTGGATGGCCATCTTGTGAAAGCTGGCAGGCCAACGCGCAGGCCACGAGAAGCGGCAGCTCAGGCAGGATGATTACTAACGTTTCAAGATCGAAAACCCTCGCCGGCGCTCGGATCGGATCGGATCGGATCGGATCGCCTGTGCGGGCATGCGCCCGGGCCCCTTAAGGGCGAGGCGGGTGAGGCCATGGCCTCGCATGAGAGGCAGCGCGTGTCGGAGGCTTGCTCAAGATAATGCGTACCTCACATGTTGATGTTCCAAGTGTTCCCACTCCTTGTTGGAATCCAATGTAGTGACGTAGTTTCGTTGAGGTCGTAGTGCCTGTGGCATGAACCTGTCGGAGAATCCCGTGGATGTCATCGTCCTTTCTGTAACCGCGAAGCCTAAGCCAAAGACGAACGAGTTGGACGCCTCGGGATTCCAGTCCAGTCACATCCTCGGGCCGAGAGGGCTGCGACGAGGTGCACACCCCCTCCCGACGATACTCCCCATCAGTACCCACCCTGCCTTCCCAAAACTGATAGCAGAGAGGAGGAGGAGGAGGAGAAGGAGGAGGAGGAGGAGGAGGAGGAGGAGGAGGAGGAGGAGGAGGAGGGAGGACGGAGGAGGGAGGCAAGAGGAGCACAGGGAGGGGGAGGGAAGACCAGCATAAACCCAAGACTCAGCTCCTCCTTCGCGGGTCCCTACAAGAATTCTTTCCCACTGAAGCGCCCCGTTGGGAGACAACCGTTTGAAGATCCTGAAGCGCGCCAAAACAAAATTCGCATGACTTCAACGCCACGAATCAACCTGACTGCTGCGTCTTGACGATCCTGAATCGCACCAGAACGCTATTCCTGGAACTTCAGAACGGCGGATCAACGTAACTGCTGCGCCCTGACATCCCTGAATCGGTCCGAAACCCAATTCTGGCACTTCATTCATGAAGATCCATTAAACGATTCCAAATATTGAACACGAGTGCGCGCGACGCGAAAGCGAGAACCACCTTTTGAAACGGAACCGCCCTCAAACCGTGAGGTGATTGCAAAGTTATAGTGCGAATGTGCGCGGCGCTGGGGCGAGAGCCACACTTTGAAAACCACCTGCCCTCCATACGTGAAATTCCTACACATGTTTGAAACGAGTGTGCGCGGCGCCAAAGCGAAAGCCACAGTTTGGAGGCGACCCGCCCTCAATATGTGAAGCTGTTGCCGGCTTCCAAGCTCGAGGCTCATACGCCCCGCCCGCCCTTCCGACTGGCCTCGGGGTGCGACAGGGAGGAGTTATTCATGAGGACGAGGAATGGAGTAGGGGGGGTAAGGAGGAGAAGGAGGAGGAGGAGGAGGACGACGAGAAGGACGAGGAGGAGAAGGAGGAGGAGGGAGGAGGGGGGGCGACGGGGTGGGAGGGGGGGAGGGGGAGGGCGCGACCGCCGCGCTCGCTCCCCTTGGGGGCGGCGGCAGCGGGCGGCCTCTGGCGCAGCTTCTCGAGCAGGTTCTCGCTGATGTCCACGTTGAGGATGTCCTCGAAGCCGTGTCTGTACCTCGAGAGGAGCAGCGATAAGGGCGGCCACCTGCCTCCACCCCTGGAGGAGGCCTCCAGGAGGTCTCCCGGAGACCTCCTCTTCGCCACCCTTTGTGGGAGCGGCAGCAGGAGGCAGGATCAGCTGGCGTCGAATGCGTAGGTACCCCCTCTCGTGGGCGGGGGGGGGGGTACCGCGCCCTGCCAGGGGGCTACCACCTTTAGCCAGGAGCGGGCGGGGTGACGCCATCCGATGGGGTTCGCTGCAGCACGAGGGGATCCCCAAACCGCGACGCGCTAAAGAGGGGAAGTACAGTCGGGCTTAAAAACTCACCAAGGCAAAATCACTCAGCATCGGATCGGGAAAACGGAATGTGCGTCGGATCGGGCTGCGTCGGCACGGAGTCGAAATCCAATCAGATCGGCTGTGCTGGGATGCACAGCAACGCCATGTAAACATCGGGCCGCATCGAATCGTCGGAAGATGGAAGTCACATCAGATCGAGACGGCCATAATCAATACCGAATCGAATCGATCGAACCGATATGGACCCTGGAAGGAGAAGGAGATGGCCAAGTTTGGGACGAGCTTACCCCTCAAGGAGCCTCCAGAGGCCTGCTTGCGTGACCTCCAGAGGCCTTCGGTGATTTCCTGAGACCTCTGTGGGCCTCAGAGGGCGAGAAGGATAGGGCACATCTGCTCGGACATGTTCGAGTTCCCGCACCCCAGCATCAGTATCTTAGACTCCGAGGTCAGGTACGGCTTCAGCAGATCGCCGATCTGCTTGCCAGGTCTCCTCTCTTCCTCGCCTCGCGGGGCGGTTGATTTTCAGGAACCGCCACGAAACCGTTGGGGGAACCAAAAGGTAGTGATACCGCTGCTCCCCAGACCTCTCCTGGGGTGCTATCTGACCAGAACTTCGAGGCGAATCCAGCGGTGGCGACAGGGGCCGCCCAGGAGGCCCCCAAAAAAGGGGAAACGAGGGAAGAGGGAAGGGTAGAGGTATGGGTACCTTTTCCTCCTCTGAGGACTGTCCGAAACCGCCACGAAACCGTTGGCCCGGAAGCGGCTTGGGACTTCTCTACGAAAGCTGGGACGAGGCGTGCGGTTCCGACCTGGCTTGGAGGAGGAAGAGGAGAAGGAGGAAGAGGAGGAAGAGGAGGAGGAGGAGGAGGGAGGAGAAGGAGGAGGAGGAGGAGGAGGAGGACGAGGCGTGCGTCAGCCCTCCGAGCGCACACGACCCGGTGCCTCCCCCGCCTGTCATAGTCTCGACAGCACGGGTGCGTCGTCGGTCGAGGATCGGGGATTGAAGCTCGAGGATCGAGCATGGAGGTGGCGTTTTTGACCCCGTGTCTACAGAGCCGCTACTGCACCCTTACTGGCCACACCCTGCTCGTCGCCAGCGCTGGCTGCCGCCACGGCTACCAGTATTACTGCCACTCTCCACACACCGCACGCATTGAGAGGCCACGCGATCCCACCTGTCCTGGGGACCGACGCTCGAGGATCGAAGCTCGAGGATCGAGGGAGGGCTGACACCTTCTGCCCTGAGGAGCTGGATTTGTGCTGCCCCGCCAGCGCCGGCTTGCCGCCGCTAGGGACCCGCTGGCCCTGGTTCAAGGCGAAGCCAGCACAGGGACAAAATCCGCCGACCCTGTCGGCGTGTGTGAGGGGCTTTTCCGTTCGAGCCGTCATCTCCGTTATTCGTTGTACTCGTCGTCTCTGTCCTGCGCCCCAGCCGCCCGAGCCGCGCCCGAGCCGCTCGAGCCAAGCCGACCTTGAGCAACGTCGTAATTCAGTCGAAGGGAAGCCCCTTCCCTTTGATCCCTTCCCCGCCGGGAGAGGGGGGGGGGTAGCGACCCCCCCCCCGGGTCAGATACGACGCCCCCCCCCGTACCGACCTTGAGCAACGTCGTAATTCAGTCGAAGGGAAGCCCCTTCCCTTTGATCCCTCCCCCGCCGGGAGGGGGGGGGGGGGGGGGTAGCGACCCCCCCCCGGGTCAGATACGACGCCCCCCCCCCGTACCGACCTTGAGCAACGTCGTAATTGAGTCGAAGGGAAGCCCCTTCCCTTTCCCTTCCCCGACGGGAAGGGGAGGGGGGGTCCCGGGGGGGGTCCCAGGGGAGTCCCGGGGAAGTCCCGGGTCAGATACGACACCTCCCTCCCCCACCTTTTCGTCCTTCTCCCCGTTCCCCAAAACCATCCCACAGCCCGTGCCTCTTGCTGCGCATTGCGAACAGGGTCGGCGGCACCGGCCGTAAGGCCTTCGCAATCGGACAGGGATAAATCAGGGCAGAGATCGATCGATCTAAACAGTGTTTTTGGTGTTCGTTTCCGCCTTTGCTGCAAAACGAAATCGAAACGAAAGCGGACCACGAAATCGCCAAAACACCGTTTAGGTCGACAACTGAATCGGGGATGTTTGAGATCCAGCGGTTCTGGAAGATGCATCGGGCGCCGCGGCCTCCTCGGAGCGTTCTGGGACGCTCTGGAACGAGTTACGTGTGCCTGTACCAACCCCGCCCGATGGCTGCCGCTGGCGCTGGCTGCCGCTGCTGGCTCCTACGGCTGGCCGCCGACGCCACTTGCCACCACGAGCCCCTCCCTGGGAGGGCAGGAGCAGCCAGCATCGACCCGGGACATCGGACCGCATCGGAACCTGCGACGATTTAACGGGCGAAGAACGGTATAAGATAAACTCTTTCACCGTCGGGGACACCTGCCCCAGGGCGGCTAAAAAGTTTATACCCTTACGGTGGCACCGTAGGGGTATAAACTTTCCAGCCGCCCAGGGGCAGGTGTCCCCGACGGCGAAAAAGTTGATTCCCAACCATCCTGTGGTGTTGGGTCCTCGTTTTGAAGAGACGGTGCCCCGCGTCTCCTTCCTCCTTCCTCCTCCTCCTCCCTCCACCCATTTCGGCACACCCCTCACACGTTTCGTGGCCCCATAGGGAGCTCCACCGAAGGCCCCATGGCTGCCGTCCGCATGCGTCCCGCACACCCATTTCGGCACACCCCTCACACGTTTCGTGGCCCCACAGGGAGCTCCACCGAAGGCCCCAGTGCTGCCGTCCGCATGCGTCCCGCACACCATTTCGGCACACCCCTCACACGTTTCGTGGCCCCATAGGGAGCTCCACCGAAGGCCCCATGGCTGCCGTCCGCATGCGTCCCGCACACCCATTTCGGCACACCCCTCACACGTTTCGTGGCCCCACAGGGAGCTCCACCGAAGCCCCATGGCTGCCGTCCGCATGCGTCCCGCACACCCATTTCGGCACACCCCTCACACGTTTCGTGGCCCCCCATAGGGAGCTCCACCGAAGGCCCCATGCTGCCGTCCGCATGCGTCCCGCACACCCATTTCGGCACACCCCTCACACGTTTCGTGGCCCCATAGGGAGCTCCACCGAAGGCCCCAGTGCTGCCGTCCGCATGCGTCCCGCACACCCATTTCGGCACACCCCTCACACGTTTCGTGGCCCCACAGGGAGCTCCACCGAAGGCCCCAGTGCTGCCGTCCGCATGCGTCCCGCACACCCATTTCGGCACACCCCTCACACGTTTCGTGGCCCCATAGGGAGCTCCACCGAAGGCCCCAGTGCCCCGTCCGCATGCGTCCCGCACACCCATTTCGGCACACCCCTCACACGTTTCGTGGCCCCACAGGGAGCTCCACCGAAGGCCCCAGTGCTGCCGTCCGCATGCGTCCCGCACACCCATTTCGGCACACCCCTCACACGTTTCGTGGCCCCATAGGGAGCTCCACCGAAGGCCCCAGTGCTGCCGTCCGCATGCGTCCCGCACACCCATTTCGGCACACCCCTCACACGTTTCGTGGCCCCATAGGGAGCTCCACCGAAGGCCCCATGGCTGCCGTCCGCATGCGTCCCGCACACCCATTTCGGCACACCCCTCACACGTTTCGTGGCCCCACAGGGAGCTCCACCGAAGGCCCCAGTGCTGCCGTCCGCATGCGTCCCGCACACCCATTTCGGCACACCCCTCACACGTTTCGTGGCCCCATAGGGAGCTCCACCGAAGGCCCCCTGGCTGCCGTCCGCATGCGTCCCGCACACCCATTTCGGCACACCCCTCTCACGTTTCGTGGCCCCACAGGGAGCTCCACCGAAGGCCCCAGTGCTGCCGTCCGCATGCGTCCCGCACACCAGGTGTGTGGCGTGCCGACATGGGCGTCGCGGCGCGCGGGCGCTGCCGTCGGGGTTCCCAGGGAAGCCCCCTGCAGAGGCGACGCTCAGAGTCACGAGTACCGAGAGTCACGCAGACCCAAACTGTTCACAGTCGTATACATACATTTACACTGGGCGTATCCATGCACGCATTCATGCGAATAGAATCAATCGCGCGCAGATTCATTCATAATCAGACTCGCTCGCGATCCGACTCGCACGCGCTCAAGCTTTCATATTCGGACCTATCGTCTTCGTTCGTGTTGTGTACACTGCCACGCATTTCGGCACACCCCTCATACGGCTCGTGCCCCCATAGGGAGCGCCACCGAAGAAGATATTCACAATTGCGGTACTCTCAACTGCATATGGTTGGGTCCTTCGCCAGGCTAATTTTATACCGTTCTTCGCTCGCTGAACGATGGGCCGCGTCGGCACAGAAGGCAAATCGAATCGGACCGGCTGCGCCTGTCAAAACCGAATCGGACCGGCTGTGCCTGGATGCACACCGGCACCATGCGACCACCGGGCCACACCGGATCGCCTGGTCATCGGCACCGAATCGCGTCGGGCAGTCCAGAATCGACGTCGAGACGGATCGATCGCACCGAATTGAGCTATGGGAAGGAGAGGAAGATCGAGGATCGACGCGTTTGCTCGTCTTTCCTCAGCGCACCACGAACCTCCAGAGGTTTCTTGAGATTTCTGGGGGAACCGTTGCGAGAGAGAGGTGGGGGAACAGAGGGCGCACAGCCCACGATGGGCCGACGCCGCCCCCGGCCCTGGCTGGACGGTTTCCCCCGGGGCCGCAGGCGACCCGACGAGGGGAGCGCGAGGAGGAGGAGGAGGAGAAGGAGGACGAGGAGGAGGTGAAGGGAGGGGGAGGAGAAGGAGGAGGAGGAGGAGGAGGAGGCGTCGGGACGGGTCGCCTTAGCCCTTCGGAGAAACCCTCCAGTCCTGGCCTGGCTGCTCTCGAACCACCAGCCTGGGCGTCAGCCGACGCACGCCGACGCCATCAGCTCCCACTAGCACGAGCCCTGCCGCCACTAGAGCTGCGCTCGCCCAAGCTGCTGCGAGCGCCGTTTGCGGCGCCCTCCTCCTCATCCTCCTTTTCCTCCCTCCTCCTCCTCCTCATCATCCTCCTCCCCCATTTCCTCCCCTCCTCCTCCTCCTCCTCCTCCTCCTCCTCCGCCTCCTCCTCCTCCTCCTCCTCCTCCTCCTCCTCCGCCTGCGCTCGTAGCTGATGGCTGTCTCTGATCCTTCCGATAGAGCACGGGTGGTTGTAGAAATCGACGCGTCGGGGGCCCACTGACGGCTCTAAGCGTGAGGAGGGGAGGGGGTGAGGACGCGGAACACAGAGGCACGCAGCTGGGGGATCAGCAGGAGCACATATTCGGCCAACAACGGGGGAGACTTGCGAACTGAAAGGGTAAACAGATAAAAAGAGTCAACTACATACATGAATCCTTGAGGGGAGGGGGGCACAAACCCAGACGGGAAAGGAAGTCTTCGGGCATCGGGTGGCAACTCAATCTACTGACAGTGAACCACACAACAGGACATTGCATGTAGTGGGACTGTCAGTCAGGACAGTCAGTGCATCCAAATCGCCACATCACGTCTTTTTTGCCGGGACCTGCTGCATCCTCCTCCTCCTCCTCCTCCTCCTCCTCCTCCTCCTCCTCCTCCTCCTCCTCCAGCCTGGAGCGTGACTTTCCCAGAAGTCATGCGTCCTACGGACCTCAGTTTGACTTTCCCCACCGCCGTCCAAAGACGGGGCTGCGCCAACGGGCCTTCGAATGGACCCCGCTGGAGATCTGGCCCCCGCGTGGCAGCAGCGGGCGGACTTCCCTCTTCCCCTGCCTTCTCGTTAGCCTACTTCTTGTTTGTTTGAGCAGGTGCACTCCCCTCATCCTCTGCTCCTGAGCCCCGCTCGTGACTTCAGCAGTGGGCGGCCGTCTCTCCCCTGCCTCTTTGGCCCCCCCTCCCTTCCTTCCACAAGCGGCGCCTCCCCGATCCTCCTCACCATCTCCGTCATCACCGCTGCGGAGACCTCGGGAGATATGGTAGGGGAAGCTTTCTTTCCACGGCCGCTCGACGTGCGCAGTCCGCCAATGCATCCCGCGGTAGCGCCTCCTCTACGACATGCTGGCAACCAAATTGCCTGCTCTGTCTGATGTATGCACAAAAGGAACACGGGGGAACTCGAGCATATTCGACGCCCGCCGCCGCTGTCCGATTCCGCGATTCGCCGTGTTACCCTTCTTCTCCATCACCCGTCAGGAGCAGCAGGGCACGCTGCTCGCGCGCTCACTGCCGCAGATGCTGGACAACGCGCTGAAACTCAATCGGCACCGCCGCCGCAAAGCGGTTGCTGTGCACCGCCGCCGCCACGCACATGGCGACCCCGAGGGCCCTCCTGCGGAGCTCCTGATCCCGGCGGCCCAAGGCGCTTGCGCGAAGCATGCGATCGTCGATCTTGAAATCGATGTACCTGTGCAGGAGGTCTGGTTCACCACTGCTGGACAGGGTGTCCGACACCCTCAGGTGGGCGGTAATGTAATTGAAGTTGGTCTTCGTGAAGTCTGAACGCACCGCTTGCCCAGCGTGCGCGGAGTACTGCAGCAGCTTCTTGTCGCAGTAATCAAAATCAAAAACCAGCGCCTCCTTGCCGTCGACCAGTGACCAGCTGAACAGCCCCTCGAGGGGCTCCTCAGGGCGCTTCTTCAGGGGGAGGAAGGGGGTGAGGGGGGAGAACGATGAGGGAGAGAGGAAGAGAACAAGGTTGAGGACAAGGAGGGGTGCTTAAGAACAGCTGCAGGAGCGGGTCCGAAAGGCATCCTCATCCCGTCTGAGCTGCTTCGCTGGCACGGTGGCAGTTCTTGAGCACGCAGCTGGATACAAAGGAAGCAAGATTTCACCTGTCATGGCGTTCTTTTGGTCTGACTTGCTTTGCGTTGAACTGCTGCAAAGCACTGCCATGCAATGCAATTCAACGCATTGCAATGCAATACACTGCAAAACTATGGAAATCGATGCCGAGACGATTCAAAGCAAAACACTGTGAAGTAACACGACGCTGTGCAAAGTAAACGCGAATGCGCGGCATTGCAAATCGACGCAAAACAACCATACACAAGCCGTAGAGGAGGAAAGATCATTGAGAAACCGGATGATCGCCGCCCAAGAAAACGAGGGGATCGCCCACGAAAACCCAGTGCAAGGTCAACCATGTCACCAGACCCGCCCTCTTGCAACAAAGACTCAGGGCCCACTGGACAAAGCTGGATGCGGGGATAAAAAAGATTCCCTCCCGTGGCCACGGCCCCATGCCTTGAACGGCGGGTCCTCGGTCCCACTGCAACGATCCCCCTCCTAAAATGGCAAGAGCACCCCCTCTCCACGATCTCTCGCAAAATGACAGGCGTCATCGCTCCCAGGGCCTCGACCATCAGGGAAAAGTCGACTCAACGGGAAGCGGTGCTACAGAAACACGCCCGTGGAATATCTGAGCTCTTGCTGCAGCTCATGTTTCTGCTGCCTGCTGCTGACCCGCGCGGCGAGCTGCTGATTGTTGCTGCTTGTTGCCGGTTGCTGCTGCTCGTGACCGGTAACCGCTGCTGATGCCTGCGGCTGCTTGCGGCTGCTTGCGGCTGCTTGCGGCTGTGTGCTGCTGATGGCTGCTGCTTCTCGTAGGGCCCTCTTCGCGCGATGCTTGCCCCCTTGGGACCTCTGGGGCACATCTTGGGCACTCTTGGCCTGCACGGGGGACGAAGAACATAGAAGATTAAGTAGTAAGCCATGACGGACTTTTTTCCCAACCATCCTGTGGTGTTTGAACCTCGTTTTGAAGAGACAGCGCCCCGCGTCCTCCCTCCTTCTCCTCCTCCCCCTCCCTACTCACCCGTCATCATAACAATCATCGTCATCATCATCGCCGTCATCAGCACCATCACCCATCACACGTTTCGTGGCCCCATAGGGAGCTCCACCGAAGGCCCCAGTGCTGCCGTCCGCATGCGTCCCGCACACCCAACTCGCCACACCCCTCACACGTTTCGGGGCCCCATAGGGAGCTCCACCGAAGGCCCCAGTCCCGCACACCCATGTCGGCACACCCCTCACACGTTTCGTGGCCCCATAGAAAGCTCCACCGAAGGCCCCAGTGCTGCCGTCCGCATGCGTCCCGCACACCCATTCGGCGCACCTCTCACACGTTTCGTGGCCCCATAGGGAGCTCCACCGAAGGCTCCAATGCTGCCGGCCGCATGCGTCCCGCACACCAAATTCGGCACAACCCTCACACGTTGGCCCCATGGGGAGCTGCACCGAAGGCCCATTGCCGTCGCCCGCAGGCGTCCCGCACACAAAATTCGGCACACCCCTCACACGTTTCGAAGCCCCATGGGGAGCTGCACCGAAAGCCCCAGTGCCGCCGGCCGCATGCGTCCCGCACACCCAATTCGGCACACCCCTCACACGTGTCGTGGCCCCATAGGGAGCTCCACCGAAGGCCCCAGTGCTGCCGTCCGCATGCGTCCCGCATACTCAATTCGGCCACCGAAAGCCCCAGTGCCGCCGCCCGCATGCGCCCCGCACACCCAATTCGGCACACCCACACGTTTCGTGGCCCTGCACCGAAGGCCCCAGTGCCGCCGCCCGCACGCGCCCCGCACACCCACTTCGGCGCACCCCTCACACGCTTCGTGGCCCCATAGGGAATGGTGGTCCCGACAGCTTCTTTGGGGCCGATTTGTTCGTCGTCGTCGTCCGTCGTCGACGTCCGACCTGCGCGTAGCGCGGCGCCCGAAGCCTTGAACGTTGGAGTGCGCGGGCAAAAAGGAAGGAAAAAAAGGGGAAGAAGCGGGCGCGATCCTCGTGTGGGGCGTGCAGACATGGGCGTCGCGGCGCGCGGGCGTTGCCGTCGGGGTTCCAGGAGAACTCCTTGCGGAGGCTACGCTCAGTGTCACGAGGTTTCAGAGTCAGGCAGACCCAAGCCATTCACGGTCGTATGCATTTACACTCGGCGACTCCATGCTCGCAGTCATGCAAATAGAACCAATCGCACGCATATTCATTCAGAATCATATTCACTCGCGCTTAGACTCGCCCGCCCTCAAGATTTCATACTCCGACCCATCGTTTCGTTCGTGTTGTGTACCCTATCACACAATTCGGCACACCCATCACACGGTTCGTGACCCCATCGGGAGCGCCACGGAAGAATAGATTTACAATTGCGGCATTCACAACTGCGTATGGTTGGGTCCTTCGCCGGGCAAATTTCTATATAAACAAACAACTTGGCGAGGGGCCCAAGCATACGCAGTTGTGAATACCGCAATTGTGACTAGATTCTTCGGTGGCACTTCATATAGGGTCACGAACCGTATGAGGGGTGTGCCGAATTGTGTGATAGGGTACACAACACGAACGAGAACGATAGGTCTGGGCATGAAAGCTTGAGCGCGGGCGAATCTAAGCGCGAGTGAATCTGATTCTGAATAAATATGCGCGCGATTGATTCTATTCGCATGACTGCGAGCATGGAGTCGACCAAATGTAAACGCATACGACTGTGAATGGCTTGGGTCTGCCTGACTCTGAGAACTCGTGACACTGAGCGTAGCCTCCGCAAGGAGTTCTCCTGGAACCCCGACGGCAACGCCCGCGCGCCGCGACGCCCATGTCGGCACGCCCCACACGAGGATCGCGCCCGCTTCCTCCCCTTCTTTTCCTTCCTCTTTGCCCGCGCACTCCAAAGTTCAAGGCTGCGGGCGCCGCGCTACGCGCAGGTCGGACGTCGACGACTGACGACGACGACGCAGAAATCGGCCCTAAAGAAACTATCGGGACCACCAGCTCCCTATATGGGGCGACTACACGTGTGAGGGGTGCGCCGAATTGGGTGTGCGGGACGCATGCGGACGGCAGCACTGGGGCCTTCGGTGCAGCTCCTTATGGGGCCACGAAACGTGTGAGGGGTGTGCCGAATTGGATGTGCGGGACGCATGCGGGCGGCGGCACTGGGGCCTTCGGTGGCCGCGTTGGGTATGCGAGATGCATGCAGCCAGCGGCACTGGGGCCTTCGGTGCAGCTCCCTATGGGGCCACGAAAAGTGTGAGGGGTGTGCCGAATTGGGTGTGCGGGACGCGTGCGGCCAGCGGCACTGGGGCCTTCGGTGGAGCTCCCTATAGGGCCACGAAACGTGTGAGGGGGGTGCCGACTTGGGTGTGCGGGACGCATGCGGACGGCAGCACTGGGGCCTTCGGTGGAGCTCCGTATGGGGCCACGAAACGTGTGAGGGGTGTGCCGACATGGGTGTGCGGGACGCAGGCGGCCGGCAGCACTGGGGCCTTCGGTGGAGCTCCCTATGGGGCCACGAGACGTATGAGGGGTGATGGTACTGATAACGGCGAAGATGATGACGATGATGGTGCTGATGACGGGTGACGGGAGGAGGGAGGGGGGGAAGGAGGAGGAGGGAGGACGCGGGGCGCTGTCTCTTCAAAACGAGGACCCAACACCACAGGATGGCTGGGAAAAAACTGTTAGATGGGCGGCGCGAACTCCCCGCAAACGCACTACGCACCGATTGGATAAAAGGAAATCCATGTCAGCGGGAGAAGCAATCTGGAACAGGACACAGAAGCCACAAGGGAAAGAGATGCCAGCACCATGGTGCAAAAAGTGTGGAACTTCTTGTCTGTGAAAGTCGATGTGTGTATATAAACATTGGCACAGAATCCTCTTTGCGAGGAACCGTACGTTTGTGAAAACCAATGTGAGCGGAATCCTACATGTGGAGGAATCCGTGTGTGTGTTTATGAAACCCTACATGTGCGAAACCGTATGTGTCCGGACCCCATGGGAGCAAAGCCATCGGGATCCAGGCGCCAAACAAATAAAACCGAACAGCCAAAAAATTAGCCAGACGAAGGACCCAACCATATGCAGGTGCGAGTACCGCAATTGTGATTCCCTTTTTTCGGTGGTGATCCCTATGGGGCAACGAACCGTGCTAGCGGTGTGCCGAAATGAATGGCGTGGTACACAACGCGAACGAAAACGAATGATCTGAGTACGTAGGGAGACTGAGCGCGGGTGAATCTGAACGCGAGTCCGTCTGACTGTGAATGAATCTGCGTGCGAGCTAGTCTACGTGCATGAATGCGAGTATGCCAATGCATGGTGCAAGTGTATATGAATGCTAATCGTTTGTGACTGACTGCCTCTGAATACTCGTGACGCTGGGCGTGGCCGCCGCAAGGAGCTTCCCCGGGACTCCCCGACGGCATCGCCCGCGCGCCGCGACGCCACCGCGAGGATCGCGCCCGCTCCCTCCCCTTCTTGTACTCCCTCTTTGCCCGCGCACTCAAAAGTCCAAAGCTGCGGGCGCAGCGCAGCGCGGAGTCCCAGCGACGCGCGCAGGTCGCCCCGGAGGGGTCCCAGCGACGCGCGCGGGTCGTCCGCTGCGCGCAGCAAAGAGAGCTAGCTGGCTGGCGGATAGCGCGGGCAAGGCTCTTGCCGCTGGGCAGAGCGACGACGGGCGAGGGAGGCGCGGAACTCCGACGGCCTCCGACGGAGGTGTACTGGGTGGGGGAGACGCGTGCGGACTGCGCCACTGGGACCTTCGGGCCACGAAACGTGTGAAGGGTGGACCGAAATGGGTATGCCAGACGCATGCGGGCACACCCACTGGGACCTTCGGTGGAGCTCCCTAT